ATTCATATGTGTAATACGATTTTTCTGTGTACTGTTCTGTTCTAGTTTGTTCTTTGTGTGTCCGGACTGTGAGTAACTCTTGTATTGTATTGTATGTATTGTACTATTATTATATAATTCGTTACACTGTGGCTGTGTTGTGTGTGTTAAGCTGCTGTTGCACTGCAATTTCCCTCACAGGATCAATAAAGTATCTATCTATCATTTCATTAAATGGGGGGTTTGTGAACTCAAACCAGTAGCCCTTCGGATTGTAATCTCTCTCCCAGTGACAGCAGCAGGAGTAGTGCTTTTCAGAGCTCATTCAAACATACCTGAGGCAAAAATATAAGAAAAATGATTTATAGAATGTTTATCAAACTTTCTGCTCAGCCTTATTGATCTCACCCCCTTGTCATTGAGTGCATTTGGTTTTTATTAATTTCATATTTTTTTCTACAATTACTTTCTACAAAGGTTGCAGTGCAGTATCTTGTGAGTCATGATTTGCTATAATTTTGAAGTAACAGAGGTCCTTCTAGCATTATGTATTGTTATTAATGTTACTATTTATTACTCTCAATTGTAAAATACATTATGTCTGTTAAATGTGTGCTCCACGTTCTGGTTGATAAATTATGTATTATGTGTTCTTGAAAGCTGGTTAGTGAAAGTTTTCTAGTTCTATAATTCATGTATTGAATTGTTCTAAATAGTGAAATAAGGTTGTGTTGGGAGCTGTTACTAGCAGTGTCTGCACAAATCATGATCTGGAGGGGCTCCATTCCAAGATCTTACCCAGGGCCCCCAAAAGACTAGGGCCGTCCCTGTCTGCACAAGAGCCTGAAGTCTATCAATCCCGAGAGTACAGAGAAACGAGAGAGAGAACCAGGATTTTCCTTCCCCGTCAAGGGTCTCAAACTACAGTCCTGAGATCTTCCCCATCGATCGTTAAATAGATTCATTTTAAATAATGTGTCTAATAATAATGTCCGCCTCAGTTTATGTCTCTTCCGGTATTAAGAAAAAACAGCGAACAGGGTGACAGCTTTGCTCAACCGCGCTGTTCATTAAAGTTTGCCGCCATCTGGTGTTCAGATGCGCATCGCGTTTGACAACAGCTGTCGCGGTTGTCCCGTCAGCGCGACACACGCGTGTCAGCTACCCCCAAACTTAATAATACACACCAGTGCAGGTTAACCGGCCCCTATTACAGACTACAGCTGCTGGTCAGGTGCCGAGTTCATTACTAGGGGTCAAATAACAGCGATTTTATTAGTCGTCTAAGCTCCAGAAAATAAACTGGCATTTCAGAATCCTGGAAGGCTCGATGAACCTTTATGAAACGACACCAGCGTCGTACAACGTTGAGCTTTAGTGATGTGTTTGATGTTGTCGACGTGTGTGATAAAGTACACTATCGCTCTGATCAAAACAGAAGGCGGGGAGCCAAGTCAAACCTTTCAGTTCAGTTTATGTCATATGCACAAGTGCAATGAAATGCGTATTTACACGTATTCTCCAATACAAAGACAATAAAGGCATCACCAAAAACATAAACACAGAACAGCAGCAGCAACAACAACAATTAAATAACATACAACTTTTAAAAAGTCAGATAAGCAGTATGAGAGAAAAACACATCAGTGTGAGCCGGCGGTAGGGGTAGAGTTCAGTAATCTGAATCTGGAATCTTTCCTGGCCTATAAATCTTCATCTTGTTCCTTCCATCGCAAAAGCTGCCGATTTATTTATTTTTTTCTGGAAACTGTAGCTTGTACAGGCGAGCCCTGAAGTTGGTTTAAGGTTTGCATGGACAGAAACCACATCCCCCATAATGCATCGCTGCTAACGGGCTGCAGCGCATGTTCGATTACTAGCGCGTCATTTCCGTGACAGGGGAGCTGCAGTCAAAGTGTCCAATAGCGTCGGTCCCCCAGACAGAAAAGAACTACATTTCCCAGGAAGCAGCGTGACGGCCCACGCGGTCAGGTCTCTGTTTTTGTTATTGTTATAGGTTAGTGGAACAGCTGACGCGGAGAGAGGTCGTTGAGAAAAGAGTTCTGTGCGTCTTCATTTGAACATCTTTTCCGAAAATACAGGTGACGTTTTATCTACTAGTTGAATGGAAAACAAGTTAAAGACAAAGCATATCTTGTGTTTACTTTAGTGTACTTGACTGTTCGTTTTGCTTTTTTATTATTTTCAGAGAGAGAGAAAAATGTCTTCTGTAACTTAATTATATGTGTCTTGTGCGGTTTTAAATGTTTTCGTACGCAGTTCTTATGGGTTTCTTAAGGGGACAGCGATCCCAGATGGGAATCGATGCACATGGTTAAAAAAATGTATACTTAATTTCTGAAGGATGAGAGTAATTTTAAACTAGTTTGCTGCCAGCGAAGCCGAAAACAGCAATTTAGTACACCGTTACCGAATCATGCGTCCCGCTTTCCGGATGCCAAGAATGTTTCTGTTAGACGTGTTTTTAGAACTATTAATGAACCTCCATCAGCGCAGTCCTCATCAAGAGCTGTCTCACGGGTGTTACGCCGTGCACACACTTGAAATGTCTCCAAAACCGCGGCCTTCGACACACTGAAGGCCTGAGTGCTCGGGAACAATTACAGCGACCTAGAGCTGCGTGGACCACAGGCCTCCCGTCCTGAGCAAGACTGAGAACAGGCGGCGGCGGCGGGCGAGAGCGTGGGTTCTGCGTGACCCGTCTAGCGCCGTCGTGTCGCTGGCGCTACTGAAGCGCACGACTCGAGTTGCGGGCGCCTGCGATATTGCTGGAATTCATTTTATTCGCGTCGGCAAAACTCAAGCGAGTACACGGACAAAGCGAGCTGCGTGACTCGATGACTAGCTCAGCTTCCGCAGAGATGGTTGCCTTCACCTAGCGTTTGAGAGGAACACGTGGACCGGGACTCTCGCAGGTGCGGGTCCACCCTGCGTGTCTGTGTCGTGCTCTGGCGGACGAAGTTGTTGTTTATTTCTGTGCCGATGATTATAAACCCCTCGACCCCTCCTCTCCTCTCCTCCCCTCCCTTAGTCATGCTCCGTCAGCTGGACCCGCGGTGTCCCCTGAGTCCCCCTGCTCATGTTGCAGCGCCCCCCTCCCGCTCTGTCCCTTTCTGAGAAAAGCAGGACTTCGGTTTCCAGAAGAATTTGGACCCCCGGTTTCACAACACCTTGAGCCCTGAGCCCTGCCTCTCTCCGTGTCGCATGACTTTCGGCTCGCTGTTTCGGGTATTCAAAGGCATCTAATTTCGTGTTTGAAGAGGCGGTGTGCAGTTGTCCTCTTCGCGGCCTCAAGTTGTCGGGGGCCGGGGGAGGCGGGACGGGTCTGTTGCAGAGGCCGTCCTTGAGGATTGAAATTTGTGTGTGTGATCTCAGGGTGCTGGGCATTCCTGCACACAGTGCTGCAGGTACAGAGTGGTCTGTGCTGGACACGCCCAGCAGGAGGCTGTGTATCGCACACAGCAGTTCCGGGATTGAGTGGTCCCTAGCTGCTGCCACCCGGAGTGAGTGACTGAGCCTGCTCGTGATCGGTGCGGAGGATGGAGAGTACAGCCAAGGCCCACTAGCAGGAGCACAATCCCTGTGGCACTCGCTGAGGACAGAGGTCCCTCCCCTGTCTGTGCCTGAAAGCACCTGCTGACAGGCGCTATTGTACCAGCAGCACAGACCTGCCGATTCACAAGGGCTGCTTTTATGGAGGGTGCCCGCTCTGCTGCGGTGTGCCCCGAGGCCCGTGTGCGAGGCAGAACGGGAGGAAGACAAAGGGAATGCGGACGAGCCTGGTGGAATTACCTGGCCCAGGTGTGCCAGAGGCAGTCAGGAGCAGTTCCCACGGCAAGGCTGCCAACACTGCTGGAGAGCGTCCAGGGAGAGGGATAAGGGGGTCTGGGAGAGGGGGGGGGGCGCAAATGGAGATAAAGGGAGGGAGGTGTGCAGGGAGAGACAGTGGGTGCCGAGACAAGGCAGAACAGAAGGGCTGGGGAGAAAGGGAGATAAGGGAAAGGGGATAAAGAGGGAACTGGAAAGAAGCGAGAGAGGGAGGAGGGAAGTAGAGTACTTAAACTCTCTTCCTGCTCTGTGTGATGGTAATGTGGTACATAGATCTGCATCTCATGGGTATTCCATTGAGTTGGCATGATAACCCAGGTGCCCTGCTTTCCGCTCTCCGTCTTCCTGCATCGACCTCTGTTGCTCCCCTCACCCCCAGGTGGGTGTGTCCAGAGCCCTGCAGTCGCCATGGAGACGACAGCCCCGCCCCAGTGGAGGGTGGAGTTTCGGAATGTGGGGAGGAGCTACTTCCCCCAGAGCCGCGTGGAGTGCCACTACAGCATGAGCCCCCTTCACTGCTGGGCCAGCAGTGACTGGATAGGCCTCTTCAAGGTACCTTCCTCATCCTCTGTGTCATCTTCCCCCACCTCCTCAGCAGCCTCATCAGTGTTTTAACTAGGCTGGCTCCTTTTGGCCAATTATACATTTTGTTTGCGGAGCTTCAGCCAATTAATCTGAACATTAACTTCCCTATTTTAACATGTTTGTCCAAAAGGCAAGAGCTTAGCGTTTTAAAATAGATCGTTCAGCCTTTACAATCCATTTCGTGTTTTCAGGAAACGTGGGAATTCCTTCACCTTTTTCTTTTCCCAAAGGCCCAAAAAGTGCATCTCTCCCACTGTGGAAAAAATTGTGATTTGAGGCAGTTTTGACTTCATGATTAATATAGAAAAACACAAACCGCCGATTGTCAGTTTCTCTGTGAATGGAGACTCTGTGTTGTCTCCCAGGCTTCAGGGAGAGATACCAATTGGCAGGTGTCAGTGTTGATTTAAATAAAGCCATTGGCTTTACAGGGTGAGCTTTTTACTGCACAGCAAAATCGAACACATCAGGCAGGAGGGAGCCTTGTTGTCAGCAGCACTGCTGTCGTTACCGTCGCTGCTGATTTCACAGCTATTGTCCTGGAATCTGATCTCGTCTCTGTGCCTCCCTCTCTCCCGGCGCAGGTGGGTTGGTCTTCTACACGGGATTATCACACCTTTGTCTGGGCTCTGTCTCCAGAGGGCTACTCCGAGGGCACCTCTGCCAACGGCTGTGTGCATTTCCAAGGTACGAACTCCGAGCAGGTCTGGGCACCGTCTGCAGGGCATTTAATGATGAGAGAGATGAGAAAGGCAGATAAATAGTGGGGCGATGATTAGTTAAAATACCTGGCACAGGGAAAAAAAAAACTTCAACCCACCTGCCTTTCTGCAAAATCAGAGTCCAGAGCCCCAGAACAAAGTGTTAAACATGAGAAGAAAGTGTAGCACATAAGCACAACGTATCAAATTTAAGAACGGTTACAAACGTGTGGAGATTATGCTGGCTCTCTGGCTTATCTGGACTCTCCATTGGTAGTCAGTAGTTAATTGAGTTTTGCAAACTGATGCAAAAATAATTAGTTTTTCCTCTTCCTAATGAGCCCAAGTTGAATATAGTTGCAGTGGCTGTAATCCTCTCCCGCAGCTTTGCAAACAAGTAGCAACGGGATCGTTTCCATTTTAGTAGTGCATGGCGCAATTTTAATCCAAGAAAAGGATCTTAATGTTAATCTGAAAAAAGACTTCTCCGAGCTGCCAAGGGTTCTGAGAGCAGGGTGACCCTGGGTAGCTGTGAGCGAGACCGTCACCGTGTCCTCTGTCCCGCGCAGCCTGCTACCTCCCCGGGCCCGGCGAGGACTCGTACCAGTTCGTCTACGTGGACCAGCGCGGCGAGGTGTGCGCCCGCAGCGCCCCCTTCGCCTTCTGCGCCCCCAAGCCCCTGGACGAGCTGGTCACCCTGGAAGAGAGGAGAGAGGGAGAGGAGGAGGAAGAGGGGGAGGGGATGCTGCTGGTCATCCCGCGGGCTGAGCTGCTACAGGTCAGCGTAGGAGGAGGAGGAGGAGGGAGGCTCGGAAGAAGATGGTGAAAATGCCATCAAGGAGACACTTGACCTGGCCTCCTCATTGTGTGGATCGTTCCGTAAACTCCCTGTCCCTGCCTCCCCCGAACGCCAGGCCCGCCTGGAGGAGTGCCTCCGAGAGAGAGCCGAGCTGCTGCAGGCCCGGGAGGCGTCGCAGAGGGGCCGGGAGGAGGACAGGGAGGAGTGGGACAGGCAGAGGCGGGAGCTGAGCGAGCGACTGGGCCGCGCCAGGGAGGAGGCCTCGCGGCTGAGGGAGACGCGGCAGGTAAGCGCCGGGCGAGACGTCCGCCGGGGGCCGCGGCCTCCCCCC